GATGCCCGCTAATTTTTTATATACATATCAGTTGCCAATTAATTTCTTTCTATTATAGTAGAGACGGGGTTCTCGCTCTTGCTCAGGCTGGTTTTTAACTCCTGACCTTGAGCAATCCGCCCGCCTCGGCCTCCCAGAGAGGTAGGATTACAGGTGTGAGCCACCACGCCCGGCCTGCAAAGCCTTTTTAAATAAGACACAAAATCTCTAAGCCTTATAGGAAAGCATCATTAAATTAAATATCCAAAGCAAGTAAACCACAAACAAAACCAAGGAACACATAAAAAATAAAGAACTACTTATATTATCCATAGATAGATATTAGCCAAAGACTAATTTAATAAATAATAAGCTCCTAAACTTATTTAAGAAAAGACCAGCCATCCAATGGAAAATTGAGCAGAACTTGAGCATGAAGATACAGAAAAATAAATGCAAATGCTAAATAAGCATCCGTGGAGATGTTGTGAGGATCAAGACATTTGTTCTACACAGTTTTGATGAAAGGCGATACTTTGTTAATGGGGTATAAATCGGTACAAATTTTGAAGGCCAATTTGAAAATACCATCAATATTGAGTAATTACAATCACAAGCCTAGGAGCTATCTGAAAATAAAATTCCAAATTTGTACAAAGATTTGCGTACGAGGTTGTCTACTGCACCCTTGTTGCAGTTGCGTATCAAGGACTGTTCATCCCTAGGATGGAATACTGTGATATATTTTAAAACAATGAGGTTGTTCCACATGTGAAGCTATGGGAAAATCTCTCATATAAAATTTTTCATGACAACCAAAGGTACAGATCAATGCATGTGACATGTTCCCATTGAATAAAGAAAGAGAATGCACATATATGCTTGAATGTGCATTGAATTTTTTCTGGAGAAATGATACAATGAGCATTGACAATTGTGATTTGGGGTAGTGAAAGGTACTTTATTGTTGCCTTTTTTTTTCAATCCCAAATGCATTATCTCCATAATAAATAATGAACCTGAAAAATATAAGCCCAGCTGTTATTGTGCTTTATGTGCATTTCTTTGCTTGCTATCATATATTCGCCGATATGGACCATGGAATTAGTTGTGTGAGTGTGATCTGCTGTGTGTATTTAGGCTTGGCGCGTTTCGCTGTGAGTCAGAGAAGTATTGTGAATGCGATATGAGATTAGGCAGTGTTTGTGGTGTTGTGATC